AAGGGACGGGAGTTTGGGGGAGAAGGGACACATGTACATGTATGGTTGGGTCACTTTGTTGTTCACCTGAAACTGTCACAACATTGTTAATCTGCTATATCCTGATACAAAATAAAAGGTTAAGAAATTAAAAAAGAAATGTTGAAGCAATCAACTATTCATAGGCAAAAAAAAAAAAAGAATCTTGCCCTTACACAAAAAATTGACTCAAAAATAGACGGACTTATATTTAAAGTGTAAGACTATAAAACATTTAGAAAAACATGAGAACATCTTTAGAAACCAGGTGTCAGGTTTAACAATAATAATAATTTAAAAACCCATAAAAAATAGAAAAAATCATTTATACTGTTCACTCTGTTTTTATGTATATTCACAATTTTCCATAATCAGATTTTGCTTGCTTTATAAAAAGGAAAATTTGATAAATTGGACTTCAACAGAATTTAAAAAAAATTTTGCTTTAGAAAACATCTTTGAGGAGAATGATAAGACAAGCTATGGACTAGAAGAAAATATTTGCTGACAACATATCTGACAAAGAACAATTATTAGAATAGATAAAGAGCTCTCCTAAGTCAATAGAAAAAAAAAAGACACCAAAACAAACAAGCAATCCAATTAAAAAATGGACCAAAAAAAGGGACATACATCTTACTGAAGAACATACAGATGGAAAATATGCACATAAAAATATGTTCAACAAAATTAGCCATTAGAGAAATGCAAATTAAAACCACAATCTGATATCATTACACAATGTCAGAATAGCTAAAAGAAAAAATAGTGATGATGCCAAATATCAGTGAGGATGCTGAGAAACCTTACTGGTGGTGTATAAAATGATACAGTCACTCTGGAAAAGATTATGGAAGCTTCTCACAAAACTAAACATATACCTATCACAGAACCCAGCAATTGCACTCTTAGTTTCCCAGAGAAATGAAAACTTATGTTCACACAATGACTTGTACATCAATGTTCATAACAGCTTTATTCATAAGAACCAAAACCCAGATGGTGCTAATGGTAAAGAACCTGCCTGCCAATGCAGGAGACTTAAGAGACACAGGTTCGATCCCTGGGTCTGGAAGATCCCCTGGAGAACAACACGGCAACCCGCTCCAGTATTCATGCCTGGAGAATCCTATGGACAGGGGAGCCTGGTGGGCTATAGTTCATGGGGTGGCCAAGACTCAGACATGACTGAAGCAACTCAGCACGCATGTCATTGACCCAAATGTCCTCCAGTAGGTGAATGTTTAATCAAAGTGTGACACTAGTCAGCAATAAAATGGAATGAGCTCTTGATACATGAAGCAACCTGGACGGATCTCAACATAACTGGACTGGGTCAAAAAAGACAATCTCAAAAGTTTACATATTGCATGATTTCCTTCATAGAGGATAAAACTGTATGGACCTAACAGAAGGAAAAGATATTTAGAAGAGGTGGCAAGAATACAGAGAAGTATTCAGAAAAGATCTTAATGACCCAGATAACCATGATGGCATGATCACTCACCTAGAGCCAGACATCTTGGAGCGTGAAGTCAAGTTGGCCTTAGGAAGCATCACTATGAACAAAGCTAGTGGAGGTGATGATCCATATGTTTATTGTGATGGTGGTCACATAAACTTACACCTGTGGTAAAATTAGACAGAACTAAGTATAAACACATAAAAATGAGTGTATGTAAAGCTGATGAAATCTAATACAGTCCATGAATCCTATCAATGTCAACTTCCTGGTTGTGAAATTGTACTATAATATGCAAGAGGTCAGTATGGGGAGAAGCTATGTAATAGATATAAGGGAAACCTATCATTTCTTACAGCTGCATAAAAATCTATAATTATCTCAAAATAGTTTTACAAAATCAGTCAAGGTGAAGTATAGGGATAGAATGGTAATGAGGGTGGAATACACAAGGGTCATTGGATGAGTGTGTGTGATTTTAGGAGGGAAGTGCTGAAGAACGACATGAACTATGATGCCTGTCAGGTTTCTTTCTTGGACTTTACTCACCCAAGGAGAGAAAACAGGAGTAGCTGACTCAAGAAGAAAAGTGATGAATTCAATTTTGATTTCGCTGAGTTTATTTTCTGTCAGCCAAGCACAGTATGTAAAATGTAATACAAGAAGGAAAAACAGGAATTTCTGAAGAAGAGAAAAATATACAGTCTTTTGTTGGAATTTTTTATGTATACTCTTCACATATCATTTCAACACATGGATGAATATTAAAGTATCAGTAACCTGTATATCATGACAGGGGAATTTTTGAACTCAGATGCAAGAGTAAATATATAAAAGTATCTGTGGGGATCTCAAAAGATAGCTGAATAAAATGAATTGCATATCCATTATGCAATAAAATAAAAAGGAACTGAGTTACCCACTATATGTGCCAAGTTCTCCATTGATGTTCAGAAGTATTATTCTGCTTAATCCTCATGATAGCCCTCAGAAGTTGTTTTGTTACCTATATTTTCTAAGTAGAGAAGTTAAGTCATTTGCCAAATGAAACAAAGCCAATGAGTTACTTCTCAGGCTAGAATTTGAATCTAGATGTGTTTGACTTCTAAGCCCATAACTCTCCACTATCTTAAGAAGCTTGTAGACCGTGAGGGAGAGCAGATCATAAAACCTTAAAAATTGCACTGTGTTTAGTTGCTCAATTGTATATTTCTCTTTGCGACCCCATGACTGTAGCCCACCAGGATCCTCTGTCCATGGGACTTCTCCAGGCAAGAAAACTGGAGCGGGTTGCCATGCCCTCCTTCTGGGGATCTTCCCAACCCAGGGATTGAACCCAGGTCTCCTGCATTGCAGGTGGAAAATTGCAGACTCCATATAATGCCTTATTTAGGGGTTTCGTTAGGTTAAACACATACATTTAGATTTGTAAGTTCCGTTTCCTACAGGGAAATTTTAAAGGTTCTATTTAGGTCACTTGCCTCATCTCTACAGGATGGCATGCTAGTTTGGCATCAATTGGTTATTCATGATTACCCATTCTCTGGATGCATCTGGCATGTCTGTCTTGGAAAGGGGTTAATTTTTGTACTAATCACTAAGTAGTCGTAAGAACAACAGCCCCTTCTTTTGATTATTTTCCAGTTAACAGATCAGATGATTGCTGTTTTCAGGTGTGCAGGCTATATAAATTTCTTAACAATCATCTTTCAGCTCAACTAAGGCAAGCAGAGTAACAGCAGAGGTCTTCAGTTCTGGATTCGCAAATTTACCTGCTATGTTAGCTCCGACTTCATTAACTACTAACTAGGGATACCCTAAGCCTCTGCATCTGTAAACAAGAAAACAAAACAAAACAATCTTTGCATCTCTACAGAAAACCCTGTGCACTGTAAGGGCTGTTTTTCTTCTTCTCTGGAGATTTTCTATACACTCTGTTGTTTAGTTCACAACTTTTCTTTGAGGTATTCTATTTCAAAATTTCAAGATTGACACATCATGCCTAAGACCTCCAGGGCTTGAAAGTTGATTCAATTTAAGACTATACATCACAGTCCAATTTACTTGTTTCACAAATCAAGAACAGTCAAACCAAATCTTGAACAAAAGGTAATTTTCAGGCAGACATTGGGCGTCTCTCTTTAATCAACATGTATGAAGCTTCACTGTTTCCAAACACTTTTATTGTTGTTATTACTCAGTAATCTAGCTTTAATTTTGAAAGGCATTTCAACGGAAACTCTACACATTCCATCCCATATCCATCAAAATGCAGGAGCAGACGTGAGTAGCATACCTCCTAGAAATACTAAAAAGGCGGGTGGTGGGTGGATTTGAGGATATTAACGAGATCTGCTGCTGTTGGGTCAGTTCATTTTGATTCTTCACCTTTCTAAAGCGTCCAAACCTGAGGTGTGGGTTTAACTTCTCTCTATTCACGCCACCTAGTGGTTGTAAATGTTATATGTTTGGTTTTAAGGAAGATGCCTAAATGACTGGGGGGCGGGGTACACGAAAAACACAACGGTTGGCCGCGACAATTTCCTAGTCTCTCACATCACCTACCCCTCACAGGGACAGCTTTAACTACTTTAACCATTTCAGATGTGTGCGCAGAGAGGCGCAGAGGATGAAGGGGACGCAGACTCACGGAGACGCACGTCCTTTGACGCTGACATTTAGAAAAGGGTTCTAAATCCTCCCTGTCATTTGCAAAGGACGGGAAAAGGAGTTGTGGCAAGACCTGGACCGAGGTGACTGTCTGACTTTTCAGTAAGTTGGACAGATGACATATTAACTCCTGCAACGTTAACGTCTGGAGTGAACAAATAAAGAGGGGGAAAGCACTTAAAAATTCCGCCGCGGGGCTTTGCAGGTCTTGCTACCCAGTAGCCCTCAGAAGACAGCCAATTCCTGCGCGTTCCGCTCTGCTCACTCTCCTTCCCAGCTTCTCTCTCTCTCTCTTTTTTCCCACGCTCGCTCGCCTTGAACCAGGACCCAGGCAGGCAGAAGCAAGGCGGCGGTCCCCTTGCTCCTCTCCTCCACCAAACCACCGCAGCCTAGCGCGTGAAGCTTCCCTTTGTTCAGCGAGGCTCCGCTCTCCTCCCCAGCAGATCCACCTGGACGCTCTCCCTCGGTGACATTTTTGCGCCGGGGCCGGTGGGTGGCTGGGGTGGAGCGAGAGGAGCCCGAGGGGGCGGGGGCGGAGAAAGGTCAAGCCGAGGGAAAGGCAGGAGACGCCTTTCATAACCTGCGTGGCGGGGCGGGCGCGCGGTTATTTATTTATTTTCTCCTTATTTATTGAACGCACGAGCAGAGCGGCGCGGGGAGTCCGGGGGAGATGCCGGACCACCCACTGGCGGGGAAGCAGCGAGCCGCCCTCCCGCGCCCCCGCGCTACCGAGCGCCCCTTGCCTCCGCGCTACGCCCCGCGCCGCGCCGCTCCGGCCCCGGCCACCGCCGCGGCGCAGTAAGTTGGCAGCACCCAGTCCCCTCCGTTCTTGCCTCCCCCGCACCTTTTGAACTTGTTGCTGCTGCTCGGCTCGCCTGCGCCAGGCTTTTGGAAGGTGAAAAGGAGGAGGGAGGCACGGAGGGATGGGGGAAGGGGAAGAAGAGCTCGCTTGAGCTTTATTTATGCTCCCATCGGCGCGTCGGCTTAGGCTGCTCGCGAGCTGCTTTCTCGGGAGCCCTTTCCGGGTGCACGACGAGGAGAAAGTCTCTATGCAACTCAGCCCCGGCGCGCACTTTGCCAGGTATGTACCGCGGGCGAGGCGCGTTCCGCGCGGAAGCAGATGCTACTGCCGCGGCAGCGGCGGCGCCTGCCAGCTCCCGGGCGCTGTAACTGTCACACTGTACCTGAGCTGAACTTGAAAAGAGAGTGAAGGGGCGATTGGGCGAGCGCTTTCGGCACAACCCGGGGGGTGCTCGTAGACGCGGGGAAGGAGGATCTATACTAACGCCCCCCCAGCCCGGCCCACCGCCCAGCACCTCCGTCTCTGCGAATAGACGGCCCGAGGAGTCGAGGCGGCGACCGGACTCCCCAGGAGACGTGGGGCAGCGGCTGTGACCGCATCTTGGAGGCTACTACAACAGGTCGCCTTTTTGAGACTCCTTTGGCGGGAAGGGCCACTTGGAAAAGGGAAGGTTTGAAAGAGCTGCAAGGGGGGGTGGAAGGGTTCCCTGATTCTTCAAGAGAATACCACTCAGTGACTGTCCTTGTCTCTATCCTACACAACACATACTGACCCCACGTTATCCAGCCTGTGTTGGGGAAGAAATCAGAGACACCTGTTTGAAATCAACGGTAGCATCTAAAGCCACCTGTGTACTTATTTGTGCCAGGGCTGGCCCGGTCCAACTGCTGGAAAGAGGTTTGGTTAGGTTCTGTTGGGGGTGATTGTTAGGACATTGTATTTTCCCCCTCCTGCTACTCCAAAAATATTACCTGTCTTTGAGGGAAGTTGCCCTTCTGCGAACTGTGACTTCATCAGGAGCCCTCCGTTGAATAAGGCTGATAGTGGACCACGTGGCTCAGTAGTGTTTTCTTTGACGGGTGGAAGTGGGTGATTGTGGCTACATTGAGCGACCCACAGTAGAGACTTGATTGCCCTTCCGGCCTCTGCTTGAAGGAACCATGGCGGCGGGGGTAGCAGCGTGGCTGCCCTTTGCAAGGGCAGCGGCCATCGGGTGGATGCCTGTGGCCTCGGGGCCCATGCCAGCTCCCCCGAGGCAGGAGAGGAAAAGGACTCAGGATGCTCTCATTGTGCTGAACGTGAGTGGCACTCGTTTCCAGACGTGGCAGGACACCCTGGAACGTTACCCAGACACTCTGCTGGGCAGTTCAGAGAGGGACTTTTTCTACCATCCGGAGACTCAGCAGTATTTTTTTGACCGTGACCCAGACATCTTTCGCCACATCCTGAATTTCTACCGTACTGGGAAGCTCCACTACCCTCGTCATGAGTGCATCTCCGCTTATGATGAAGAATTGGCCTTCTTTGGCCTCATCCCAGAGATTATTGGCGACTGCTGTTACGAGGAGTACAAGGATCGCCGGCGAGAGAACGCCGAGCGTCTCCAGGACGATGCTGACACGGACAACGCCGGAGAGAGTGCCCTGCCCACCATGACCGCTCGGCAGAGGGTCTGGCGGGCCTTTGAGAACCCCCACACCAGCACCATGGCCCTGGTGTTCTACTATGTAACCGGCTTCTTCATTGCCGTCTCAGTCATCGCCAATGTGGTGGAAACAGTGCCATGTGGGTCCAGCCCGGGTCACATTAAAGAACTGCCCTGTGGGGAGCGGTACGCCGTGGCCTTCTTTTGCCTGGATACAGCCTGTGTCATGATCTTCACAGTGGAGTACTTGCTTCGCCTGGCGGCAGCTCCTAGCCGTTACCGCTTTGTGCGTAGCGTCATGAGTATCATCGACGTGGTGGCCATCCTACCGTATTACATTGGGCTGGTGATGACAGACAATGAGGATGTCAGTGGAGCCTTTGTCACACTCCGCGTCTTCCGGGTCTTCCGGATCTTTAAGTTTTCCCGCCACTCGCAAGGCCTGCGTATCCTGGGGTATACGCTGAAGAGCTGTGCCTCAGAGCTGGGCTTCTTGCTCTTCTCGCTCACCATGGCCATCATCATCTTCGCTACAGTTATGTTCTACGCCGAGAAGGGGTCTTCGGCCAGCAAGTTCACCAGCATCCCTGCTGCTTTTTGGTACACCATCGTCACCATGACAACGCTAGGGTAGGTGCCATCAAGGGAAATGGGATGGAGGTTAAATATGCGATTGTTGTGCAGATATTAAGTTTATATACTTATTCAGAGCAAATAATCTTTCTCTTAAATGGTTTTAGGAAAATATTCTTTAAATGGTTTTGAAGAACTCTTTTGATCTATGAAATGAGCATGGTACAATGATTGAAGTATTTAGGGAGTTGCTGGCCAGTGTTGAATATTAATGCCTGAAAGTGATAAATACATAAAGTTTAGAATTCCTGAGCATAAAGATCATTAATATTATATGTATGAACACATAAGAATACAATGACAGTGAAAAACACAAAATTCGTGTCCAAGTAAAGGTGTGAAAATACAAACTGTATTGAAATGCCTAGAAAGTGCTTCAGTGTATTGAAATGAAAAGTTTCCATGTATATTTGAAGTATTATTTTCATATGAATACTTTGGCATACACTTTCCCACTAAGATATATAATTCTCATTTTACAACATTTTAAAACATAGATTATAGATTTTATCAAAGGACTTTGTGATACATATGCACATATTCATCTATATGCATTTTCATCATGGCTGATAAGTTATGCAGTGTTTTAGAATATCAGAACTGAAACTGATCAACTCAACAAAATGCAGTGGAATGATATTTGCAACATATTTAAGATTTTAAGTTCATAGTTTCAAATAAAGAAGCAAATGACTTATCCACACATTTTTTAAGAAACTGCAGATCCCATCAGGCAATGGGCCCATGTCCACATAGAGGGCAAAGCAGTAGCTGATGAGACTGATGGTCACCAAGGGCTGGTTGTATTAGGGAATTTGGCGTCTTGATTTCCTTCTAGAATTCTTTTCTTCATTATTTTATTTGGCATTAATGGTGCTTTGCAACCAAAGGGACATATTCTGAATTAATATTGCTCTTTAAAATAAAATTTAAGCTAGAATGAAGATTTTTAGATGATTGAAGAAAGATATTACATTATTACTCATGTTAATTAAACTGCAGAAAAGTAGCAGCATTTATATGTTAGAAACTATGGTAAAATAAAATAAGATCCTTTAACTTTTATGAGTTCTTAGATAAGCCAGGTAGTGATGTTAGTGCGATTCTTTCTTCAGCTCTATGCTGCTTTTCTTGCATAATTAATCAGTTCAATAAGGATTTGGTAATGGCTGTAAGAAAAAAAATTATTCCCAAGGCTGCTTTTTAAGTTTTGTGTTTCATCCTAATTTAATTGCCTTCTTTAAATGACAGTGTGGTTAAAGTCAACTTGATTTTATTAGACATATTGGATTGAACAGAATTTCTCATGTTGTTCTATGGTTAACTAATGGAATATTTTAGATGTGAAGAATTTTTGGCTAAGTTAAGAAATTGTGGTAAAGTAAAATATAGTGACTTATGGTTTTGATTTAATCTCACATATTTTTAAGACCTACTGGTGAATTTGTAAAAATGAATCAGTGAAAATTCTATATCCAGTTGTTTGTATTTTCCTTTTATCATGTTGGTAATTTTGGAACACATTTTGAAGAAGATGCAGAATACCTTAGCACTGTAGGTGCTTAGTTCTAACCAAGAGGTTTGTTGTGTTTATGTCATTTGAAGTCTTTATTAAGGGCAATTGGATAATGTAAATTACTGGAAGAACTTCAGATGAGAAGTACACATGAATAAAAAGAGGACTCTATGTTAAGAGGAAATGAAAGAAGAAGTATTAAAAGGAAATATATTTTAAAAAATTAGGTGTCTCTGGCAGTGTTTTTCATGAAGTATCAGTAAGTCATTTTAATATTATATGCCCTCTACCTGAGGCATTATTATAATGAATGTTGATGAGGTGCTAATTTCATCTGGCTGTAAAGTTCTAGTCCAGATATGAGAAGTTAGTATTATTTTAAAGCTTCTTTTCTGAAATTACTGTCAAATTTTTATTTTATTTTGAAATTTATTTTTGTTTTCAGGAAATGATGAGGAAATGTTAACCATTAATGACAATTTTTGTTATATAAATAAAGTGCTCAGAAACCTCTACTTTTTAAAATGATTTGAGAAACTAAATCATAACACCTGAGTAAAATCTATGTGATTGTTTCAGTTTACAGGTTCTTTATGTTACTACATAAGAAAAGTTAAATAAACACACTTTCTCAGAACTTGGAAGGCAAAAAGGGAGTCACTTTTTAGACTTAAGTTCCACTATAGTTGAAAATTTTAATTTTCAGGAAATTAAGGTAATTAATAATCCTGATGAAATACAGCACTCTAAGTTTTAAGATGTAGAAATGTTGATGCAATCAAGATACAATCCATTTATTGGAGAACATATATGAACATTTAACAAAGCATATGCTTTATAATATAGCAAAGTTTCCTCAAAAAATGTCTTCTGTTTCTCATCAAAATATATTTATAATGTATTATACTTTCCTGAAAAAATAGATTTTAAAAAACCCTGCCTTTTTGGTATCTTAACTTTGGTTGCATTGTGACTCAACAGCTTTATTTAAGAGTAGAAAATATTCAACAAAGCCATTACTTGAATTTAATTTTTACGCTGTAGTCTTGTGTAATGAAGTGTAAGATTCAAACTTTTTGGGAAATATGCAGTAGTTGAAGGTAAAATCAATCTGTGCCTGATAGATGACCAGAAAATTCCCATTACAGTGAATGAGCTCTATTACATGGCTATTATTTTTAATGGAGCTAATGTTCATCAATTAATGATAATAGAAGTGAAAGTGGAATCTTAGACAGTGGTTTTTGAAAGTTCAATTCACACAAACATTATCTACAAGAATTTTGTACTTCGGGACTGGCAGAATTATCTGTTACCCTCTCAGGTCATTTTAGGCACTATTCAGGTGGTGTTTTGGTCTGAAAAAGTGAGTGGGGTTTACTATTGTGTATTCATCTAATCATTTTTGTACTCCCTGAAATAGCAAATATCTGATTATTCTATATTTTACCCATACTCATTATATAAGTAGTTAGTTTGCCAGTAAAATGGAAACTTTAAAATATAATTTTAAGCCTACCCACTTCCTATTAATTAAAGTTGGAAATATCAAAAACACAGTTTTCAGAACGAATGAAAGAATGTCAGAAAAGTTTTTTTCTTTAAACAATGTTTAAATCTAATGGCCCCGTATGTCTCTTCCTCCATTCCATGGAGGAATTCCATGCTCTTTCTGAGCTTACTTGTTGACCTGCATGGGGCCTTCATTGCCTCTTTACTCTCCTACCTCCCTCTTTTTCTGTAATGTAATCTTTAGTTACTACCCTAAGCTGCTTTGCGCAAGTAAGAACCTGGAACTCCTCTCTTGTCTTAATGACCTCTGGACCGTAATATAGCATTGTTATTTTTCAGCAGGAACCAGGGATGGAACATCTCCTGCTTTGATAGGTAGATTCTTTACCACTGCACCACCTGGAAAACCCCGCGCGTAAATATTGCTAAGTCAAGGTTACTCAGTCATGTCTGACTATTTGCAACCCCATGGATTGCAGCCTGCCAGGCTCCTTTGTCCGTGGGATTCTGCAGGCAAGAATACTGGAGTGGTAGCCATTTCCTTCTCCAGGGGATTTTCCCAATCCAGGGCTTGAACCCAGGTCTCCTGCTTGCAGGCAGATTCTTTGCCATCTGAGCCACCAGGGGAGCTCCTAATGTGTTAATCAAGTATGTCTTTACAAGCTGCAGGGGAGGGTACCAAAATTTATATCTTTTGGTGAAGAGCCGTGCTGTGAGTAACATCCATTTTTACTTTGGCATACTACAACACAGTTTTACAAAGTTCTTTATAGATCATGTTACTTGAGAATTGAAAATGAATTTATAAAGAAATGTAGAAAATGTGATATATATTCCTCTTTTAGCATTATGGGCAACCAACTCTTAAGTGTGTACATTTTGTTCTAGTCATCATTTGAATTAGAGATAACATTTGACATGAGATATATTTTTAAAAAGTGTGTATTTACCCATCTTTCTGCATTATTTTCTATGAGCATTTTCTTGGTTGTTAGACACAGGTATGTCAGGAAGAGATGATATATATATTTTGGGTGCAGCATCCTAGAAAAGGGATAATTTTCTAATTTTTAGTAGGTCTGATATGATATTCTTTTTTCTTTTCAGGTTTTCTTTTTAAAGTACAGATAGACTTGATCTTATATATATTTTATTTGTGTAGTCACTTCATTTAATTTTGATGTCATGCACTTTGTATTTGTGTAAACTTTCCTCCCAATTTTACTCATCTTTGAAAATGAATTAATGAAGTTCAAATTTCTTATTCCCTAATTTCTGAATTATTGGTGGAAGGAAACTTAGATGTTATCTATTTAAAATCCATCATTTTACACATACAAGATTTTTTTTTGCCTGCTCATAATTACACAGTTAATATTAGTGGTATGTTCTGAAATTTCATTTTTTACTCTTTTTATTCTCTTAAGACCTTAAAACATTATCTAGGAATGTGCAATAATAATTATCTGGGGGTTACTGCTGATGCTCAGAGATAAGAAAGGAATAAATTTGTTCTTTACTGCATTATTTTAATGCATTTCTCTCCTAGTGCTACTCTCTATGACTCACGTTTTCCACATCTCTCAGTATCACTGCTAACTCTGCATTCATTCATACAGTACTGGAATTCATCATGAGGTGCCTAGTTGACACAACACAAGCATGTATTCTTATCTGGTGAACTATTAGACCATTTGGGGGAAACCTACTTAATGGTGAAATTGTACCTGGCCTGATGGATAAGAAAGTGAATCAGTTATTTTGTCTGAGTTATCTAAAAGAGAGTTGGCCTGTGGATTGTTACACACTGTACAATTTAACTTCTCTTTCACTGAAAGAAGGCGAAAGGGGAAAAAAACCTCCCCGAAAAAGAAGGAATGGCCCTCCGAACCGGAAAAAAAAATTTGCCCCTTTTTCCCCCCAACCCCCAAAAGGCCTAAAATGGTTTCCAAAGAAGGGGGGGGAGAAAAAAAAAAAAAAAAAAGCAATAATTTTCCCAACAAACTCAACAACCAAAATTGAAGAGGGGGGGGTATGGTCTGGTATTAAAGAGAAGCTCAAGGTGAGATGCCATCTTTACATGTCTGTGTACATCTGCCTTTCTCCTTGTGTTAATAGATTCCATTGGAATTCTTTGTCCTTTAGTTTTCTCCTTTGAGAGCCATCTTTTACACTGATCTCCTTGAAGCCTTCTCAGCCTCTCAAACTTAACCCAACCGGAAGTGAAAATAAAACTGAAAAGAAGAAAGGCCAATTTTTTTTTTGAAAAAAATTAAGGGTTTAACGCCTGCCCAACCAAACAAAATGAAAAGCCTTTGAAAATTGGGGCCGGGCCCTTTGGAAAACTGGTAACCGGGGAATGTGCTGATGATCATGCTGTGAGAGGATATGTGGACACCATGGAGAGCTCCAACCATAACTTGTACCATTGCAGCATTAGCAAGAGTCCACTAATCTAATCTTATGCTTTGTTCTGTGTTTAAAAAAACTCACACACACCTTGAAATTTGTTATTTGAACACTTTGTCTTTGGATGTACTACAATCCATCCTTTTTATTTTTCTCTTTTAACTAAGGAGGGCTGTAAGTCATTCTTCTCTGCAAAGTTAGAGTTAAAGGCTGTTGATGGCTATTTCCTTAATCAGTTTGCTTTCTGGTGAAAGCTGGGTAAATTGCAGGTGGCTCTGGGAAGCATATGGAGATTTGTTATAATGTAAGTGAATCTGTGCAGAGATGTACTGTCTTCTCTTTCAGGCTCAATCTCTTTCTACAGATGAGTAACTCAAGGGACACATGGGTCAAAAAGATACCTGGATGACAGATATTTAGTCACTAGAAAGGTATTCTCTGTCTTAGCCAGTAAACACAAATTGGGCTTTTTACCTTTATTTAGGTTCACTCGTAACATGGAATTGTTTAAAAACAGAGAGCTATTGTCTGTAAATGACATATGAGATAAATATATTCTCTATTCAGGAAGAAGTTCTCATTCTATGTGATTACAAGGTGGGTTTACAGAATGTAAATATATGTGTAGTTACTTATTCTGGCACGGTACAGTCAGTTTTGCGCTGAAAAGTTTGACAAATCTGTTATGTAAAGAAGATCCGAATCATAAAAAGTGTGGGGAGAGTAGGGAGTGAGTTATCAGAAGTTAATAATGAGAAAAACATAACAGAAAAGAGTAGGATGACAGTTGAAATAATGTCAAATAGAATGGGAAAGTTTTGTTCTAAAAGTAAAAGGTCTTGTCCCTTTTGTTCTTACGTGGGCCTCATTCTTCCATCTTTCTTACTTTCTTCACTTTTTAGAACACCAGGAACAGTGCTTTTGGAAACCCAAAGTCTTACCAGTTATTTATGCTCTCAGGAGATAAAAAGGTGACTCATAGGGTTGAATTACATTTAATAGACTTCTGTTGATCACTTGCTACCTGTCTGTGACCACAGCAGTAAGCATAATAGCCAACTTTCAGACCTTAGAATCTGTGTATTCTAGTAGGAGAAGCAGAAAGTGAATACAAATATATAATACAGTTCCAGGCAGTGGTGGGTGCTATAAAGAAAATAAGGGTAGGAAGTGTGCTATTGTGGATAAGGTAGAGTAAAAGCCTTTCCAAGGGTGATGATGGCTTTTTGAAGGGATGAAGAAGGTCCTCTGAATATCTGGATGAAGAGTTTAGAAGAGAGAAAAGAAGTACCAAGATGCATGAGACAAGTGCTCGGGGCTGGTGCACTGGGATGACCCAGAGGGATGGGATGGGGAAGGAGGTGGGAGGGGGGTTCAGGATGAGGAACACATGTAAATCCATGGCTGATTCATGTCAATGTATGGCAAAAACCGCTACAATATTGTAAAGTAATTAGCCTCCAACTCATAAAAATAAATGGAAAAAAAAAATAAAGAAGTGCCAAGACTGGAAGGCAGGAGGAATCTTGGTGTGTTCCCTCTAAGGCTGTAATTGAAGCAAAGCGAGGGAGGGTCTTAGTAGCAGATACTATCTGAAAGGTAGTTGAGATGACATGACGTTGGACATCGTGGATCATAGTAAAGACTTTTTGGGTTTCATTTGAGACATAATCAAGGAGACATTGGGTTTCCCAGGTGGCGCTAGAGGTAAAGAACCCACCTGCTCATTCAGGAGACATAAGAGATGCAAGTTCTATCCCTCGGTTAGAAAGATCCCCTAGAGAAGGACATGGCAACCCACTCCAGTACTCTTGCCTGGAGAATCCCCATGGACGGAGGAGCCTGGTGGGCTATAGTCCATAGGGTTGCGATGAGTTGGACACAACTGAAATGACTTAGCACCCACGCCTGAGGAGACNTTCCCAGGTGGCGCTAGAGGTAAAGAACCCACCTGCTCATTCAGGAGACATAAGAGATGCAAGTTCTATCCCTCGGTTAGAAAGATCCCCTAGAGAAGGACATGGCAACCCACTCCAGTACTCTTGCCTGGAGAATCCCCATGGACGGAGGAGCCTGGTGGGCTATAGTCCATAGGGTTGCAATGAGTTGGACACAACTGAAATGACTTAGCACCCACGCCTGAGGAGACCTAAGAGAGTTGTGAGCACAGTAGGAATGGGATACGGTTTCTGTAATAAAATGAGCCCAAGCCCTGAAACATTTAAAATCTTAAATACTCATTTTAACATTAATTTCTTACCCATGTATAAATTCTCATTCTTTGCTAGATTCATTATACTTACCTTAACTTAAAATTTATATCCAATTATTCATGAGATTTTCCAGAAAAATGGAGTATTTTATGAGTGCATGATTAAATTCTTCCTAGCTGACAAAAATAAATCTAGTTCAAATGAAAAAACTGAAATTCCACATTTTAGCTGAAAAGACAAAACTGGTTCTCAATAGAAATGGAACAATCTGGGAAATGACTGAGGATAATTCTTTATTTTGAATATAGATTTGCAGACTTAGAGTTGTCAATGCTAATGTTAGTCTTTAAGAATATCACCTACATTTTGGATTCTATTTAAAGATTTTTCTTTTTTTTTTTCAGTCTTGTATAGGTACCAACCTGAAATACATATATCATCTTCAGATGTTTTGTTATTTTTGTGAGTTTGAAAGCAAAAGTGGTTTACGTGTCTTGAAATCTGTGAAAATTGCCAGAGGATATGTATTTTTAACCCAAGTTAAATTGGGACCAGCTTGTAGCAAATGTATAATGAGAACTAACAGAGGCATTGCTTTGTTAAGAAACACTGTGTTAGAGAGTAAAACATAATCATGAATGGATAATTGGAGAGAACTTGAGTTTGGAAGAACAAGAATTGGATTAACGGCATAAAGGTATCTATCTATCCATCTATTTGTCTATCTCCCCAATAAGCAACTTGTGAAAATATTTCCTGTATCTAAGGGAATTCAGTGTGTTATCTCACTTGAACATGTTCTTTTCATTAAAACATCTGCCCTCCAAATAGTTCTACATCCTACCCAGAAGTTCTATCCAAGAGGTTTGATTCCTGGTGGAACAAACTAGGACTTGTGGGGGTATCACAAAGGAAAAAGTCCTGGCATGTACTTTCCTTTGACTGTGGGGAAGGTGAAAATGACAATCACACTCTCATTTTTACTATCTTTTATATATTTTAAATGGATAACTGGTTTCCTTTCACTGTGCTGCAGAAATTAAGCTTTCTAAACCTATATCAATATTAATGCATTTTGGAGAAAAATCCTTATGCATATTATTTTGGATAACACTTTGGGACTTATGAAAATGTTTCCAGTTCTTACCAAATGTAGTGTTTTGGAAATGAAAATTAAGCATATGTATTTGTATTCTTAAATTAGATGGACCTAGTTATTTACATTAGACATTTTGCTGGTCAGAAAAGAATGTGCTTATGGATTCTCCCTAATGTCTGATTTTTGCTTTGGTAAAAAAGTATTAAAATCATGGAATTTCGAGGTACAGGGCTCTTTAGAAATTATCTTGTAGATAATTCCCAATTTCCTTGAAGAAAACAGGAAAAATAGAACTAGTTAGTGGAAGAACATAAGCTAGATTTCTGGGGGAACTTTTGAGGTCTAGTGCTCTTTAGAGTGCAATACACTGGAAGTCTTCTTTCCTCCATATTTCTTTCTCTTTAAACCAAATATTGCAAACAAAATCAGGGTAGTGTGCATGCAGATTTAAAAAGACCTTAGATGATTAAGGCATTTCATTGTAATGTAAATAAAACTTAAGTTACTTTCAATGACTTCATATTATATATGTGTATGTATATGTTATATGTATATTTCATAGTCCTCCATTAGATTATAAATTGTTTATGTAATAATACATATGAAATGTATGTTTGTGTCTATATATGAATGAAGGGACTACGAACTGGTAACACAGATAAACAAATTCATGTAATAAGTCTCATTTTATTCTTCTGTTGGTTATTTGCTAAGTTAACAATTTGCTAATCGGTTAAATCTTATTGAAACTAGAAAGAATTCATTATTGAAGTTTAAGCTTTGACTTTAGACGGTTATCTAAAGAGATGATTTTGTTGTTTTTAACATCAACAAATTTGAAAGCAGGCCATGAAATCAGTGTTAAATAATTTGTTTGACTTGTTTTGGTCTAAAGAGCAGAAATTCAAAATTTCAAATATCAGATTCGTTTACATTTTGCTCCAAAAATATTAAGATATGTTTTATTCATTAAATGAAAATACATATTAAGATTCAAATTAAATAATACTTTAAAATGTTTTTCAGTTAAACATTATATATCATATTTTGAGGTGATGTTCTCAAGCTTATTTAAATAGTACACTTCGATTCTGAAAATCATAATAAAAAATTCTGTCTTTTCCCCTAGAATTGTTAAGGGGACAACAACTCCTTTAATTTCATCAAATTTTTGACAATTCATATTCTAGAAATTTAGTTAATAAGAAGATACTTGTAACACTTTACAGAAAATCTTCAAGATGAAGCTAAATTGATAAATTATAACCAAGGATCTTACATTTCAATAGGATATATTGAAGAAAGCTAAATGTTTGATACAAATAGCTTAAACAGCTAGACCAAGATGCAATGCTTTTATTCTACTTGAGGTGCACAGAATTTAACTAATTATTACCCTTTTGCATAACACACTTCTGTCATTCATCCATCGTGGTCCTCCTTATCATTTTACTTAATAACTTTTAATAGTGTAATATGCACAGGTGAACATACCACCAAACAAAAGCTATTTCATTGGTATTTACCTAAATCTAATCATAAGCACCTCTTCTCTCCATTTTGTCCCATTGTCTTTCTGTACTATAGGTAGTCATCATTTGAAATTATCATTCTGAAAGCTGTATTTTTTAGTGGAGACTTTATTTGAATATCTTGCTGTGTGCAGTCTTTTTGGTTCTTTCATGCAATATTCTGGTACTTAGGTTCATCCATGTTGTTGCCATGCATTATAATTCACTTTTGACTGCTATATAATATTTTATTCCATTGTGTGAATATACTACAGTTTATTCAACCACTCTGTTGATGACATTCAGTTTGATTCTGAGTTTTTCAGAAGAGTGCTCATTTGCAAATTGTTGACATGTACAGTTATCTCTCCTGTGTATATAACTTGGAGTAAAATTCATAGGTTATAGATATGAATGTACAACTTGGAGAGATAAAGCCAAATTTTCCAAAGTTGCTGCTTTAATTGGTACTTCCACTAGCAAAGAGTAAACAATGCAAATAAGTAAAATTTCCAAAAAGATGATTTCTATGAGGCAGTGGGACCCAGTGAGTAAAGGAAGATATTGGCTAAAATGAAGACAGTAAGAATTTTTTTCAATTGATAACTGCTTTTACCTTGATCTTTTTAAGATGAGCAATGATTATAATTGTAGCAATCATAGCTTGCATTTTATTCAACTCCATGACTTGTGTTTGAATTCTTATTTTTTCAGCCTAAGAAGGTTTACTCTAATAAATACTACATTCATATTTTCATAATGTAAAATATTAATTTCTATGTGTTTGAACTCAAGACAAACCATATCCAAGTCAATAATATTAAAAACATCAAACCTGAAAATATCTGACTAGGCTTTGGTTTACTCATCCTTGTGAAATTAAAAATAAGGACTGAAGTTGATATTCAATTGATTCTTCTGATGTTTCATAGTATTTTATAAAATGTTACATATAACTTTTTACAGATATGTACTGCTAAGAAAGTAGTCAAATCCTCTCTTTTCACATTGTCCAATTTATCAGAACTTTGCTGTACTTAGAAAAAATATGCTAATTTCAAGGCTTCTCAGACATTCAGAAGGGGATACATCATTGTGAAATAGGATATAAGAATAAATGTCAAGAGGAAATTACTTCCATTTCAGGAAATTCTTAATTATGGAAATTAAGTGAATATTATTTCCAACCCTTCATAGACAACTTTGCAACTTCTTTCATGTTTTAAATGAAAGACAGTTGTTTTGAAAAGCTTAATGAATTTACAGTGTATACATGTTGAATTTTTTTTTTAAATATAGCATTAGTGTTTTAGGCTTTAAAAATTACATGAATTTGATATCAAATACCAGAAGACATCACTGTAAATACGCTAATAAAAAGAATGTAATTTAGATAATTACTATAAACTTTTCTTTATGAAAATAGGATATTTTATTAAGGATTGACATAGTCCTAGAGTAAAGTGCCTATTGATTACTCAAAGAATTTTATTATTTTTGTGTAAAGAATCCAAATACCTTCAAAATCACCTAAATGAAAAGTAAGGTTATTTTATTTCAAAACAGTTAAAAGGAGGTGATTTTTTAAGTCAGGTGGCAAATTTTGGCACTATATATTGAACTATTTTAAGCCAAATAAATTTGCATAAATTAAGAAATCATTTTATAGACTCTTCTTTTTTTAATTGTCTCCTTGTTATTTCCCACATTATTCAGTGCCCAGTTTCAGGATCTATATCCATTGTTTTAAATATTACTCAAAATATGTGTGAATGCAAAATGCTCATATACATTTTACTCAAAATATGTGTGAATGCAAAATGCTCATATACATTTAAGAAACACAAACATATGTCAATACAAAATATACAGGTATGTATTATACACATTTGTATATGTTGATGTACGCATACCTTTTCCTTGGAAGGACATAAAATGAACTATTCAAAAAAATGAATAATTGATAATAAATTGATTAATAATCAATTGAAAATTGATAATAAAACTTTTAAGAAGTCGACATGTGGGATATAGAAAGAACCATTTTATATTTCATGGTGTACCATTTTGTATTAAAAACATTTTTTCATTAGCCTATAGAATTTCTCTTAGAAGAGGGCTTTCTAATGATATCTGGAATCTTTTATTTTCATATGTTTCTATATAAAAACTTTACAAATGGTATTTAAAATTAAATCCCTTCTCTTAAAATAATTATTTTATAATTAACTCAAAAATGGTCTTTCGTATATAGGATGATAGACTCAAGCCAACATGGATTTAAACACAAGCTCAGTGATGTTGATCAAGTTAACGTAATCTCTACCTGAGATTCCCAATCTACAAAAATAGGTTAGTAATACCTACCTGATGGGACTTTTATAAAAATTCAATGTAGATATGTAAAGTTCCTAAAACATTACCTTCTACATAGATGCTATATGAAGAATTGGTATTCTATAATTATTAAATATATGATATTAAATATAATACTAAATATATATATATTTTTTGCAAAAGAAGAAATAGTAAAGGAGCAGGAGGAAATTTTGGAAAGGTATGGTATGCCTCTGGCTTTGATGATAGTAATGGTTTCATTGCTGTATATTTATCCTCCAAATTCATTAGTTTGTGTGTATTGAGTATATATAGCTTTAAAGAGAGAGAGAGAGAGAAGGACAGGCAGGAGGAAAAGCAAACAGAAAAAAAAAAACTCTTAATGAAATTAAAGAATATGTCTCTAGTTGGTTACCCAATAAACAATTAGGCAAGAAATGACTACTGAAGATGAGGAGTTATTAATTGAAGGCACATTCAATCAGGAGACATTTCCTATTTATAAGCTGGAATTTCACCATATTCATCCATAAGCTGGATTCACCATATAAAACTTTTTGTCATTGAAAACTCAACAATTAATACATTTGATTTACCAAATTATAAAAATACTGTGTCTCTGGTAAACTTGTTTTGAAATTATGTACTTAATTGATCACGCCTTTATTATTTTTTACTCTGCCAATTTTTAAAGAGGATTTGAAACAGTTTACTCTCAAATGAACCAAAAAGATTAAATAAACA